CTAAAATCTTACTCAACTTAGTCTCAAGCTTTTTTTTTGGGCGTTTTCTATCTTTTCAAGTCGATGGGAGTTTTCTTGCTCTATTTGTCTAGCTTTGGCTCTTGTGTTGTATCGATGAGTGGGGTTCTTACTGGATGGAGCTATCCTTGAACCTTAAATATCATATCTTAGAATTAGCAAGTTTATATGACTATCTCATGGTTACTTTTTTAAATGTAATGAATGAGGATGCAATGAATGAAAATGCATGTAATGCAAAGAACATTTGCCTTAAGATAGTGTTCAACCAAAAGATTTCATTTATTCAAAGAATTTTCGTTTACATAGAGTTTATCATCTTAGAGTTATAAAAATAAAATCATTTGATCTGCTCATACTAGGCTTTGGCTTTCTCGATGAAGTTCAATAGACGCTGCCTATGTTCTTCTATTGGGGCCACCACTTGTTTCAATGCCTTTACCTTTTCTACCATCTCTCTTGCCTTGCATACCCCTTTGTAAATTTGGGTTGTTAGGTGCTCAATGTACTTCTGTCTTCCTAAGTTCTCTCTTTTACTACACCAGACTTGGTATGATAACTCTTTATACTTTCTAACCAATGCAACAATGTGGTATTCTTGTTCATTCAACTTTTGTCTCAACCTGCTTAAGTAACTGTTCAACATGTTATTTTCTATCTGTACTTGGGTACTTTCTTCTTCCAATTCAACATATTCTTTCTTCAATCGGATATTCTCTTCAGTTAGCTCAACAATTGTTATCTCCTTAGCCCTTTCCCTTACACATAACCTTTTATGTTCTTGGTATAGCTCTGCTAGGTCTTCAATAGCTGTATCACGTTCTCTAGCAATCTTGCAAACTTTAGCTTCATGTTTTTCAGCTTTATCTTTTCATTGATCTTTTTTTTCTTAAAACTTTTAGATTTCTTGCTTTAACTTATCCTTTTCAGACTCAAATTCTTTTGTCGCAAGCTCTAATTTTGATGGTGTCTCTTCAAGCTTTCCTCATGTTGGTGGTTGAAAGCTTTCATAAGTGAATACCATTTTTTATCTTTGTCTTGCTCTCCAAACTAAGTACCCCTGAGTGACCTTATCAGTGAACGGTCCATGACTCATTCTACCAAGATTTTTCCATACTTTAATTATCTTATTCATCCTCTGAAATGCTTTTGACTCACTGTAAGAAAAATTTGATTGATGAAGCCCGTGGGTTATAGGAATAAACTGTTCTGCCTCAAACTATCTTCTTACTAGAAGTGACACATAACTTGTTACCCCTTATAAACCTAGAAGTGGGACCACAGTATTATCTCCATACTGATATAACATAGGTTCACGATTCATCCATGCGACCAACCACCTTACTTTGACACTTGTCAGTTCTTGTAAGAAAGCTATCCACTCATTTTTTGACTTTTGTTCTAATTACCTACTTTCATAGAATTCTTTGATCGGAGCTTGATTGTGGACATAAAGGTTCAAGAAAGCACTTTTTATCCACTTGAAATGGCTTTTCATCAATACAAACAATAACTATATACAACCTATAAAATGCCCTCCCTTTCGACGACAGGGACTCAAAGATTTTCTCTGCTAATATTACTGTTGAAGGGTTAAAGCCGTTGATCACACTTTCGAAGAAGTCAACCATTGTTATTTCAATATAACCCAAAACCTTTGGAAATATCACCATTTCATATATAGCTAAGGCGAATACATCTAAACCTTGTTCTTCGTCGGTATATTGCACTAAAAAATCATGAAAGAACTTTTAGGGTAGGCAAGCCTGTTCTTGTTTTCTCTTTGTATGAGAGTCCACAATCTCTTTGTCTATCCCCATAAGATGAGCCAAATCTTTATGAAATCTTGATTTGTGTTTTTTAACATATATCTTGTCAAGAGCCTTGAGGTGCAAACCTAATAAAGTCGAATATTCTTCGATGGTTGGTGTCATATTGACTTCATTGAAGATGAAACACTTGAATGTAGATCCCAAAATTACGCTGCAGCTCTGACTAGGTGATTGTTGACATTTACTGCAAGAAGATGTGCTATATGCCCATGTCTCTAGCAAAAATGCTCTTGTCTTGATGGATTCATCTTCTTACATATATCAACCAAATCTTCTAGATTATTTTGTTTGAGGAGGATAGATGTTTCTTGAGATAAGGTAGAATCATGGCTGATTGGTAAACAATCCCCCATCTTTAATTGAATCTTTTCTTACTGGATTTTTACTTCGTTGGGTGACTCACAAGGAGCTAGTACAGATGAAGAGCAAACTAATTGTTTTGTGAAGTTCATGAAAAACTTTTTGTTGAAGACCGTCTTTCAAGCAAATGTTCTTTATGCAACTTTATGATATGAGTATGGATCATGCAAACATGAATAAGAGAAGAGGTTAGTATACCAAATAAGAAGAAATAAATAAATAACTAAATAAATTAAAACATCACACAGAATAAGAGGAATGAACCCTATGCTTTTGGTCAATTCTAAAAGGGAAGAAAAATGGCTCTATCTATAGGTTAGGCACTCTTAAGGTTCACTATATGTGGTTTGAGGTTAAAGTCTAAAGGTTCTCAAATTGCTCTTTACATCATTGTCCATCACAGACTAGTAAGGTACCCCAATCCTCACCCATTACAGGCTATAAGTGGAAAATGTTCAATTTGAGTGGGAGTATTTTGCTAGCCACTATGGAGGCATTAAATCTCACGAAAGCAATAGGTACTTTACTCCCTCTTAGAAGGACGGAGCTTGGGTATAGAACTCATGTTATGCACATGCATATGAATGATATAATTAACAAAGTAAATAAATGTAAATGAATAAAAAATCTAAACAAAAAGTTCAATTTTATTAGGCTTTTGGACAACACAAATTTTTTTGCTGGCCTGACTTTTGGTAGTTCCCCAGTGGAGTCGCCAAACTGTCATAATGTCTAGATTTAGAGATCTATCGCTAGATATTAGCTTTAGGAGTCGTCACCAATCTTTTTTTGTTTAGGTGCGATTGCCCACCTAAAGAATTTATCTTTTCAAGGAACACCTAAGTTTAAGGGTCCCTAAAAGAATAGGTTCGGGTCGTTAACTAGAATAGGGTTCAGGAGTATGGTTACGTATGAGGAAGGTTATAGCACCCTCACAATGCCCATCAAAAGATGGTACTAGCTTAATTTTATGTTATTCAATAAGCCTTAAAATTTATCAAGTAATTAATTATTAGAAATTATTCTCAATTGACTATAATACTTTTAGCAAAAAATTGAGAAAATTCCCTCACCTCAAGAGTATGCAAGGGAACTACTATTTCACTTACAGAGGCTCCATCGTCGAATTATTTAACCTTAAAGAAAATTCAAGAAACAAAAAGGAAAAGAAATAAAATGAAAAAAGAATAATGATTCAGCTTTAGATATAAATCATTTTCTTTTAAAAAACTCATTGCTTTTGTACAAGGAAAATTGATACTTTTAACTTTTCCTCAAAAGCATTTGGGGAGTTTCTATTTTAAGAAAAATTGATATTTTCAACTTTTCCTTAAAACGATTTTTTTTAAAAAAAAAAATTGGTATTTCTGACTTTTCTTCAAAATATTTTTCTGAAACTTTAATTTCGAGATGCTTTCAACTTTTCCTCAAAAATATTTTTTAAAAATTTTATTTTGAAGAAAAATTGATACTTTCAACTTTTTTTTAAAAATATATTTTTTAAAAATTTTATTTTCAAGAAAAATTAATACTTTTAACTTTTCTTCAAAAATATTTTTTTAGAAAATTATTTTCAAGAAAATTTGATACTTTTAACTTTTCCTCAAAAATATTTTTTAGAATTTTATTTTAAGAAAATCATTAAGAAAAATAAATAAAAATAAGAATAAAAATTAAAATAAAATAAGGAATACCAAATAATTCTAATATAATAATAATAATAATAATAATAATAATAATAATAATAATAAAAGAAATAATAATAATAAAAAAAGAAAAAAAAACCTTTGGAATGGTTCGGCTCGGCTCGACTGGGGTACAGGCAAAGACGCGGGTTGTTGATTGGGTTGGCGTTCGGGTCGAGTCACCCGATTTCAAAATGCGCGGATCCTCTGGAAATAGTAAGGCTAAAACGACATCGTTTTTGATAGGTATAAAAGGCTCCAACCTCTGTTTTTTTGTAGATTGCTTCTTTCCCTCTCCTCTCCTCTTCTTTTTTCTCCTCCTTCTCTCTAAACAGAATCCAGATTCCAGTTGAATATCTGTCGAAATTTGAAAAAACACGTCAAAAACTTCAAAGTTGGCCAAAAATATTGTTGAAAAACTTGAATCTCGTTGAAAAATTTCTCTGGATTCTAAAAAATTTTCAGAAATTTTCTAGAAAAAAACTTCAAAAATTCTAAAAAATTTTTTTCATAAATTCCTAAAGTTGTTTCTAACACACCAAAACCTTTTTTAGCTTTTGTTTCCTCTCCATTTTTCCTGTATGATCTATAGACCTATTTATAGGGATTGATCAGAAGAGTTTCTAATCAATCCCAACTCCTTTTGAGATTTGGATTCAATCTTTGAATTCAATCCTAATTCTGCCAGCCTCCAATTTCATGGCCAAATTCAATTTTTTCTAATCCTAATCCTAGCCGAAAATCAAAGAAAAAGATAAAATAAAAAATATATATTAATAGATAAATAAAAATACATTAATAGATAAATAATAATAAAAAATATATATTAATAAATAATAAAATAAAATAAATAAAAATATAAATATAAAATATAAAATGAACTTATTTATTTGGACCAAACTTAATTGATCCGGACCTAAATCAAATTAAGTGTCTACAGGTGATTTTTACTTTTAATACAGTTCCACAATGTACTTGTTTTCTTACTTTGCAAGGGAAGGTGGTGGGGGGTGGAAGCTGGCTCTTGGGGGCATAATCTTTCTTTTCTATGAACTGTAGAAATTCTTGTTTCAAAACGAGGAATTTGAAGGTGTTTTCCAGCAGGGCGCGAACATGAATAAGTTGTTTATTTATTTATTTTAAAAAGGGGTCCTATTCCAACATTTTTTTTAATGATGAAGTTGCAAATCATGTGATTATGGATGTATTACGGAAAAAATTTGCCATCGTGGGGAGTTGAAACTCTGAAAATCACTAGTTAAAACAAAATTAGCAGCAACCATGCAGTACATCATTCACTCCGCTCCTAAATCTTATTAGCATGATTGATTCGTTCCGATTCTGTTAAACCAAAATTGAAATGGGAACAGTTTTCTCTTTCTGGAACAAGCAGTGTAATTATTACGACATCACTAACAACTTAAAACTGGAATCAGATCGGTTGTTCACCAGTTTGAACGCAAATTGTTCGGGCTTCGCTGCGCATCGGAGTACACCAAGTTCATTACGTTTCGGTCAAAGCTTCTTGCCGGCACTCTGATGTCCTGGTGGTTCCACACCTAAGAAATCAACTGTCAATTTTTCGCCTCCTTCCACGTACAGTTCTCCCAACAGATTTGAAGCATTCCCATTCTCTGAGTGCAGAAAATGAGAATCGAACAACGCAGTTGGATCAAGAGTATGGTGAGATCTAGGATCCCCTGACTCCAAATTTTTGTCATATGTTTCTTCTCCCATGTAGAAACCATCGATGCTTGCGGCATTCGTTGCTGTGTTACTACCAACCATGGAGCAACCTTCTTGGACAGACCCAGATGAGTTCATGTTGCTGGTTGAATATCCAGTAAAACTTCTGAGTAGTATTGGGGCGATTGTATTATCACCGATCTTAGCGCCCATTTCTGCAGCTTTTTGTAACAAGGCTGTGGCAGATGTATAAGCAGAACCAATTGCAAGAGTAGATGCCGGTGATGTTCTTGGATTGAAATTTTGATCTAAATTGCTAGGCATCATGAATCCAGCCAAATTCAAACATAATGGCCTCAGTGAATTGTTCATGTTCTCATTCGAAATTGACAGATTCATCATCGTGTTTGCGTTGGAGCATGAATCAGAGCAGGGCATTGATGAAGAGAACAGCTCTTGTGCCTGTCTTTGCAAAATTCCTCCTATGGGGGCAAGGTTCTGGTTCACCTTGTAATTTTCCTCTGTTAATGCATCACAGAAGGCTCTGTGTGTGACGAAGCTATCCTTCCTGTACTAAACAAATGTATTGAATAATAATTACATCACCCTTCACACGTTCCATCACTTACAGAACATGTCATATTAACTCTTCAATATGTATGGACTGTTTTAATGGAACTGCAATAAAGCTCTACCTCGAAAAAATTGTGCCACAATGACAGCGATATTCTCGGGTGCCACAGATCTTTGTATGTGCCTTCCAGTCTGATTGAACAGCATATCGCTTGGAGCACTTATCACACTTCCATTTCTTTTCTCCATGCTTCCTGCAGAAGTGCTTCTTAATGCCAGTCAAGTCACCTAGAGCCCGGCTTGGATCATGATGCACACAATTTGGCTCAGGACATACGTAAACCCTTTTCTTCACCTGCGTATTTGTTCTTTGCTTCAGTTTCCAAGGCAAGTTATGTCCTCTCCTATGGAGCTGAAGGTTCTGATCTCTTTGAAATCCTTTATGACAGACTTCACAGATGTACCTGTTGGTTGCCATTAGACTCCTTGGAGATAATGCTACAACCTCCGCATCTGGATCTGAAAAATTGCCAAAAAGAAGTTGGTTTTTTTTTTGACAATTTAGCTGCATTTTAGTGATTAATATTCCTGGAAGAATCTGAATCAACCTTCATTAATCTTATTTAAACATAAATTATTGTTATAGTAGCCTTTTTTACATCCACACATAGGGATTGGACAGATATTATCGTGTCAGGAATTAGAAAACACTGGCAAATTATTAATACGAAAAGCATGAATAATCTTGCCACCACTGTTCTCATGCATTTATGCTTTGGCTTTTATTTCAGGTAAAAAATGATCCAAAATATTTTTGCAACTATTTGTTCGAAAGAGATAAGATAAATATAGGTGTGCTTGCCTGGATTCCCTGGAAGGTTTCTTTTCTTCTTTGAACTTGTGGTGGTAGGGGTTGAACCATCACCGCCATGTTCAAGAGGATTAGGACTTTCATTAGACGACTGTGAGATGACAGTGCTTTGAAACTGTTCATCTTCTTCAAATTCCTGAACAAAGTTTGACATGTTTAGCAGGCCTTGATACTGATCAATGTTGAAAGGCAGTTGATAATATATGATTAGATATGGTGGGAGACTTGGCTAGAAGACAAGAAGAAGAAGAAGAAATTCGATACCAACTACGATCGAAGACCATGGCCCATGCATTGAAAATTAAATTGGAATTAGAATTCTTTGATGGCAACATCTTTGTATCAAATAATATATGTTTACATCATCTATCAATAAAATAGACATCATAAGTTGGATCTGCCTATCCTGTACGTATGTAACGAAGTGAACTTCTTGCAAGCGCCCAATGGTTTCTTCAGATTACCGAAGCATTAATAGCTATTTTATGCATTTCAAACATAGTTTTCATTTTGGGTTTCTTTTGAAGTCAAAAGATCGAAATCAAAGTCACTGTGAGGTAGTGGAATTGCACATTTAGAGTTGTTATATCTTCAAAAACTGTTTGCCGTTTATGTTTTGACATTAAGAATTAGTTGAGAGTGGATTAATGTGACCAAAAGAGACAAATTAAAAAGGACAATGTAGAGGATGCCAAAGGACATATCCGTATAAAGAGACAAGTTTTGCCTTCTGTTAATATTATTTAAGATGTTATATATGTATGCTACTATCTGCCTCCATGATTCACCTGGGCTACCCATTACCGGTTGGCATATTTGTGTTTGTCATTCTTGATTGACGTTTTGTTTTAATATTTGAGTGAGCTTAACTCTTTTTCACTGTTTTGCCCCGAAAACTTTTCTAGTATCTTTATCCAAATTCCACTAGCAGTTTGTGCTATTTTATGTCTGAAAAAAGGAAACCATTTCACAAAATGGAAAAATATCAACGTTGAAGTAAAAAATTTTCGCCTAAGAAGTGACTCATGTTTTACGCAAATTTTCTTTTAAATTTTTTAAGTATTATTAAATAAGTAATTGAAAATTTATCTAATCACTTGCAAAATCAATATGAGGACATATAGTTTGGTGAATCAAATTTTTGCAGTCCAACCCATCATAATTTACTTATTCGAGTCATATTTTTAGATCTCTAATTTAATATCACATAATTTAAAGATAAATCCAAATTTCAACAATTAACTTTGAAGGACTCATAAATTATTTAATTAAATTTCACTACGAGTCATTATCTTTTATTTATAATTAAATTAGAATAATTTAAAAATAAAATCAAAGTTCTTTAAAACTCTCTCACTTACCATTAAAGATGAAAAAATCGGATCACACCTATCATTGAACCAAGAAAGAATAGTTGGCTTGTCCAATCCATAAAAGAAGTTGAATCCCTAAAAGAAAATTCGATTTTAAAGTTTATTTTATTGTTTTATTATCCAAACATTTTTCGTAAATGATGAAATATGAACTTTTGACCTCTTAATTAAAGTTAAAAGTCGTGTCATTAAATCAAATTCATATTATTATTATTATTTATTATATTTAATACCACGATAATGCATTTAGCATTATAATCTCTTTTAAAATATGAATGTCAATGGATTAGTTACAAGGTGATAGAGTATTCTCCACCCTCATTGTAATTTTTTTATATTATATCCATCATCGTATCTACATTCAACGTATATTTTAAATTCATCTTTATTTCCATTTTTATGAGTATTTAATAAGTATGGGTAATCTCCATATTGATAGCTTTTTAAAAAATAAAAAATTAAAAATAAAATTTATTTTTACTTTTATCTTGCACTTTTATGTATTTTTTTATAAATATATATTTTAAATACAAATATATTAGTTCTAATTAATTTAAAATAAAATTTATATTATTAAATAAAAATTAATTTATTAAATATTTATAAATTATAGGATATGAGTACAATGTGGGTGTTATCACTATAAAAATTCTTAATTTTAGGGGCATTAAAATTGTGAGGGTTTATAAAATTGCTAATGATTTTCTATCTTTATTTTTATTTTACTGACCTAATGAAACTGCCCATAATAACTCAACTTTTAAGGGCACTTTTAACCCATACATAAGACTCTCACCTCTCAACCTTTATCCCCCAAATAATAAAATGTGAATCCACTTTCTCTTTTTTTTTTTTTTTTCAATTGTTTCCTTTCTTCCAAACGACTCACCACTTCGATCTCATATTTCATTTTTTTTTTAAATCTCTCTCGCTATAACCACTCTATACCAATGATTTCAAATTTCTCTAAGATTTCGCTCTTGCCAATCTCTATCACTATCAACATTACCAATCTTTGCCACCATTGTCACCATCATGTCAATGTCGTAACACCATTTCGATTTCCTCTAGTACAATTTCTTCAATTTATTTAGCTAGGTATTGTCGAATCACTCTTTATCATTATGTTCTTATGATTTGTGTTTTTGCTAACGGGTTTCAAACTCTTTGCTAAGCCTTAGCATTTGTGCTCCACGAGGTTATTATCTTCATCTTCATCTTATCCCTTATCTCTTTCACATTTTTTCATCTATTATTTTTCAAATCAATTTTGAGATAAAAATCTAATGAATCTTGCCTTAATTTTTTAAAATCCATAAATTTTCCTTTCTAATTGCAGCTCAATCATTGTTATCTTCTTCATTAGAGCTATTTCGAAATAGGTATTTTCCCTAAAATTAATCTTTCTTCTCATTTTGATTTTGATTTTGATTTTGTAATGAATGAAATGGCTAACAATTTTTTTTTGTTTTGTTTGAGCTTAAGTCTTATTCGGTTTAGCTTATCTTGATTTTGTTGTTCGATCAAACTCAATCTCAATTCTAATCTATCTAAGGTAAGCTTTAATTTCTTGATTTTCATTTTGATTTTATTTTTTTCTTGTGATTTGTGATTTGATATGATGTATACTAAATTCATCTAATCATTTTTTGGTACAATGTATGATGAAAACGTGTGAATAATAAATTTAATCGATTGAACTAGGTTCCTTGAACAATTAGTTGTCAAGTTAGTAAACTATAAAGATATAGATTCTTGAAGGCCTTTGATAGTGTCTTATGCTAGATTAATATGATGATTGTATTGAATTACCTTTTATGTAGTTTATGATTTTAGTTTAAGGTTTTTTTAATCAATGTACAAACAAGCAAAATCATTGTATTGTGCTTATGCATGGGAACATGTGGGTTTTGCCTAAATTTTAGTGGCCACGGCCATATATTTTTCTTTCTTAAACATTTTGCACATTTTTTTTCTCTATTGTTGATTCTAAATTATAAAGAATGTGTTCTGAATCAACTCTTACATAAATCAATGTCTTTCATCATCGTGCCCACTTTAATGGCATCATAGTTCACAAAAATTTGAACTTAAATTTCTTTATTGTTCTTTCTTCATTCATTTATTCATGTTAGTTCTTTTTTCCAAGTAACATCCCTTTCCCATTTTTAGAGTTTCTTGTTGCTTTTGTATTTACCTAGTTCTGCCATGAATTTTTCTCTAGAGAGAATTCTTAAACTTAGCTCATAGGCTTGTCAACTAAATCATTCTTTCCTGAACATATGCTCAAATAGGATAGGGTTTTAAGCCATTTGACTTTTATATTAATAAATTAGGCTTAACCTTAATTTATGCTTTAAGAAAACATTGAACTTCAAGGCCCTTTATTATAAGGTTATGACTTTTTTGGCCTGAGCTTTAGAGAGGTTCATAAATAAGTGAAACTCCTATGTGAAACCCTAAATCCTAGGTGAAACCTAAAACCTTGAATGAAACCCTAAGTGAAACCTTAAATTCTAAGTCTTGACACCTTAGGCGAAACAAAACCCTAAAAGAATCCTAACCTTAAACCCTAGTTGAAACTCTAAATCTACTCAAAATCCCAAAATCTAAGGGTTTGTATGAAATTCTCCTATAAAATAAAATTATTCCTGAATGTCACCTAGATGATGAGGTATTTAAAAAATTTTATTTCATTAAGAATTTTGATCTAATTTCGTATTTTAAAATAATAAAATTAAATAATGAATCAAAAGATTAAAAAAAGATATTTTAAATATAAAAAGTCACACTTAAACTTTGCCTAGAGGTTGGAAAGTCTAGGTGGTCTTTTTATATTTAAGAACCTGATCTTAGCTTCACATCTCATCATCATTTAGAACACATATTTACATCTATATTTGCATTTATTACTTATATATGTGTTTATTTTAATTATTGATGTTTATGCTTAGCTATTTAATTATTTAATTATTGTTTAAAAAATTTTAAATTTCAAAGTAAATAAATAAATAAATAAATTTAAAATAATATTTCAACGAATATAAATTTTGGTACTTTACTTAGATATTGGAGAGTTACCAATAATTATCATTTTCAAAGAATATTATTTTTATTTTTAAGGAAGTGTTATGTTAAATCCTAGATGGAAATGATTATCTTCGAGTTATGCCTTTATATTGGAGAATTTTAAGATATTTCTTTAATTTAAAGATTGTCACAACATTTTTAAAATAACATTTTAAAATAGTTTTCTTTCTTAAAAAATGAAGGGAATTATAATTAAATTTCATATAAAAACCATTTTTGCCCAAAGTTACAAATAGTGTGTGATTAATTGGTACCAATTTTATAGGCACTATTGGGATACTAATCCTTCCCTATGTGTAATTGACTTCTAAACCTAATGCTGTTTTCGTAGACAAAAATTATCTTTTTAATAAACTTTAAACCCATTTTATTGTTTTATTAAAAAGGTAAAATTTTTGGGTGGCCAATCATACCTTTAAAAAGATTAGCGGTGACTCCCCGTGTTTTCACGATTTTAAATGATTAAGTTTAGCAATCGAGTCTCCAAAAAAATATGTTATGACAATGTGGTGACTCCACTAAGGATATTTTAAGAGTTAGGCCAAAAATTTTAATTATGTGCTATCGAAAGTTTTGGATTTAATTAGTTTTATTTGATATTTAATTTAATTCCCTTTATTTTAAGTTTTGCAAAAAAAAAAAAAAACTGCATGTTAGTTATTATCTTGTTTTGGTTTTGTTATTTGTAATT